GGAGGGAGGGAACGAACCTGGATGTGTCCCAGGCCATCTCACCTAAATCCTTGGGCAGGGGCCCTCATGCTTACCTCACATGAAAACTCAGACATCTGTTTCCATCCAGCCCCATCTAAATACCCAAACACCTAAACAGGCGCCTTTAAACCAGTGCGTCCCTTGCCCTGGGACAGGTCCCACTCCCATCAGGTGATGTCCACCAACAGCTGTCCTTCCTCTCCCTGCTCCCCCCACCTCAGCTCTATGAGATGTTCTCCTCGGTGATGAAACACCTGCCAGGGCCACAGCAACAGGCATTTAAGGATCTCCAGGGGCTGGAGGACTTTATGGTTGAGAAGGTGGAGCAGAACCAACGCACGCTGGATCCCAAATCCCCACGGGACTTCATTGATTCCTTCCTCATCCGCATGCAGAAGGTCCGTGCCCAAAGCCAGTGCAGAGAGGCCCGCAGCCCCGCAGAGAGCCTCAGGCCGGGGCGGGGAGGGACAGATCACCCCCCATCATAATCCTCACAATCCCAGTTATGATTAACCACCGCTTCTCTCCGCTGAGCCCTCGCCCATGGGCAGGGCTTGTGTGTGCAAATCATGACAACCACATCTGGGCACTACCGTGCACCAGGCACTATTTTAACAACTTGATGGTATTCGCCTGTTTAACACTCACACCAGCTCTCTTTAGCTCTCTGATGCATCCTGTCATGGTCTCTCTGTCTCTTTTTCCCACTCACTGTCTCTATCCTTTCATTTCTAAGTATCTCTACAATTGAAAAGCGACATCTAAGCTGATAATTAAAAGACAGATAGCCAGCTGGGTAAAGAGTGTGAGAAGAGCATTTGGGGCAGAGCCAGCAGCCTGGGAAAAGGCCTGGCAGAACTAGGGGCCCCCTTTCCACCCTTGGTCTGGATCTATAAGAGGTGGGTCCAAAGGACAAAGCCCAGCAGGGCCCCGGGAGCGTGGGGGAGTGCGGGGGAGTGGGCTTGGCCTGAAGCCGTCCTCCCACAGGAACAGGAGAACCCCAACACAGAGTTCCACATGAAGAACCTGGTGAGGACCACACTGAACCTTTTCTTTGCGGGCACCGAGACAGTCAGCACGACCCTGCGTTATGGCTTCCTGCTGCTCATGAAGCACCCAGATGTGGAGGGTAAGGCCGGAGGGGGGAGGGAAGTGAGGGCCACAGAGCCTCAAAATTCCCCTGAGCCCGCTGCCATGTCCCCACCTCTCTCAAGTGCCTGGACCCTCAGACACACCCTGCTATCCAGAGGCTAGGTGATGATATTCAGCAAATAGGCACCAGCGAGTTTCATTCGCTGTTAAAATATTGAAAATACCTGAACTGATTGGTAAATAGGTCCTGTGCTGAGCCCACCAAGTGCCCACTACCTGCCCCTCCAGGCTCCTCCCTCGCAGCTTCCCCCACGAATTTGGCACAACCAGGTTAACAGCACCCTGTGCCAACAATGATTCTGGCCAACCTGTTTCGAATGATCTACATGGATGTCATGCATGTTGTAGACCCATCCAGTTGTACATATTTAGACTATCATTCCTGCCCTGAGACCCCTAGATACTTAAACATATTCCCCCTTATCCCACAGCCAAGGTCCATGAGGAGATTAACCGGGTGATTGGTAAAAACCGTCAGCCCAAGTTCGAAGACCGGGCCAAGATGCCCTACACAGAAGCAGTGATCCATGAGATCCAAAGATTCGGAGACATGATTCCCATGGGCTTGGCCCGCAGAGTCACCAAGGACACTGAGTTCCGGAACTTCCTCCTCCCTAAGGTGCTGCCCTTGCCCAGCCCAGAGGGGCCTCCAGCCTACTCCCTGTGACCGAGCACCCCATCCCCTTTAGAAGCTTCCCAGGCCCTGTCCCACTCCCTCAATCACAGGCTCCCCAGTCACATGTCCCTTCAACCTTCCCACTCAGAGACACCTGAGCCCCCTATCTCCCCAAGACCCCTTGCCTCAGGGCATATGAACCCTATTTCCCCAGATTTCCTGTCTCAAGACTTCTTGTCTCAGGGATACAACTCTCATGTCCCCCAAACATCCTGCCTTAAGAGACATGAACTGCATGTACCCCAAACCTTCTGCCTCAGGAGACACAGACCCCCATGCTCCCCAAAATCCCTGTCTTGGGGACATAAATGTCATATCCCCCAAAGCTCCTCCCTCAGAGACGACCCTGCCTCCCCCACCTCCCACGTCTCCTCACCTCGCGCACCCACCTTTCCCCTCTGACCCCATGCACTCTCAGCATACCCATTCCCCCTCCACCTTCTCAAACCCCCTTTGCCCTCCCCACCAGGGCACCGAAGTGTTTCCTATGCTGGGCTCCGTGCTAAAAGACCCCAAGTTCTTCTCCAACCCTAAAGATTTCAACCCCCAGCATTTCCTAGATGAGAAGGGGCAGTTTAAGAAGAATGATGCTTTTGTGCCTTTCTCCATCGGTAAGAGACCACTGTTGCCAAGCCACCAGTCAGTCACACCAACTGGGGCCTCCTTCATCCCCGCTCCCCTCTCTGGGGTGTAGCCTAGCACGGTTCTCTAGCTTGGGAGTCCCTCTGATGATCTACCCTGCAGCCAACCAACTGCAACCCCCATAACTATCAAGTACCTAAGCCCAAGCAAAAGGAAAGGGATGACTGTCCCCATTTCAGAGACGGGGCAAATCAAGGCCCAGAGTGAGTCAGAGATTTGTTCAAGGTCACTTAAATTCTTCAGATTCCTAGGAAGGAGATGATAGCACTGCAGCCATATCTGTGTGTTTGGGAGAAAGGGTCGTCTAAAATTCCCATTGCTACACCCTGCTATGGCTCACCCCCGTCCCATGCACAAGGGAAACGGAGGCTCAAAGAGGATTAGAGACTTCTCTGAAAGTCTTCAGGCCACGACACTCCATCCCCTCCTCCGGGGAGAATGCAGCTGGAGAGGGAAGAGGCGGCAGGGAGGGCAGCTCACCGCCCCCCTTCCCACCCTGTCTTTCCAGGAAAGCGGTACTGTTTCGGAGAAGGCCTGGCTAGAATGGAGCTCTTTCTTTTACTCACCACTATCATGCAGAACTTCCGCTTCAAGTCTCCGCATTCACCCAAGGATATTGACGTGTCCCCTAAATCTGTGGGCTTTGCCACCATCCCACCAAACTACACCATGAGCTTCCAGCCCCACTGAACTAGAGGGGCCAGTGGGAGGAGGAGCAAATGGGAGGGCGGGTCCTGGGAAGGGCGACGGGGAGGGGCTGGCAGGAGGGGCGGAGCTAAAGCTGGGGTGGGGTGCAGGAAAGGGAGGTGCAAAGTGGATGGGAGAGGAAGACCAAACAGATGGGCTGTGTGTTTACCTTTCTAGAGGTAGATCCTTCAAAACTGGGTGAGAGGAAGGGAAACCTTACACTATTTTGTAAATGATGATGATTATGATAATAATAATAGCTATTATTTATTGAACAAGGACTCTTTTGTCAGCTCTATGCTAAAAGCGTTACACACTCACCTCCCTTAATGCTCACAAACCTATGCGACGGGAACTGTGTTCATGCCCATTTCACAGGTGACAGCTGAGGCTCAGAAAGTTTGTCTCTATCTGAGATCCCACAGAACACAGTGAGTGCTCAGCAAGGACTTGAACACAGATCTGCGCAGCGATGTCTACTCTTAGCCCATTGTCCTTTGGGTAGATTCTTAAAAGGCACCCCTTCCTCAAGTAAAAAAAATGACACCTTAGTATATTATTACACAACATGAACAGTTCTGTCCAAGGATTTTTCCAGGTTCCCGGCAGGCAGCTGACCTGGCTTCACTACATACACTTACCCATACTCTTGCCCTTTCATGCACACTTCAAATGCCAGGGCATCCATCGCCCCACCACCACCACCACCACCAAATAAGGTGGGATCTGATCAGTGAAACCGGAGAACAGGAGTCAGACCTCTTAAAGAACTGGGTGTGAGAGAAAAACACTTCAGTGAATGCTGGGAGAACTTTGGTCAGGGCGCAGCCATGTACAAGTGTGTGTGTTGTGTGTATGCAAGTATACGATTGCATGTTCTCCTGAGTATATGCATGAACTCATTTGCTCTGAGCTTCTGAAGGTTTGGCTCTCTCTGATGGACCTGGGGTCTGCTGTAATACCCAGCTAAGAGTCTCAGAATCTCCTGCTTACTCTCAAATAAGTCAGTGTGTGTTCTCTCAGAAGTGGCATCCTCGAGCAGTGCACAATCTGCGCATTCACAGACATCAGCCTTAGATTTCTGTTTCTTAAACTAAATGCTACACAGACCCCTCCCCACCCAAAAAAACCTTGCCACACTTGAAGGACCAGTGATTAAGATCAAGTGAGGGGGAAATCTGGTTCTCTGAACCCTGCAAGTATCATAACAAGCTATGATTGTCAAGTTTCTCAATTTCCATTATCTAAGTTTTACAGCTTGGGTTTCATGAATTGGCTGCTTCCTGCTCACTGGAGAAGAAGGATGGGTCCATAGGGTCACACCCTTTATTATCACAAACACACTTTTAAAATTTATTATTATTGATTGATTTTAGAGAGAGAAGGTAGAAAGAGAGAGAGGGAGAGCAAGAGAAAAACATCGATTTGCTGTTCCACTTATTTAAGCACCATTGGTTGCTTCTTGCGTGTGCCCTGATGGGGGATCAAGCTCACAGCCTTGGCATATCAGATGATGCTCTAACCAGGGCCACAAGCACTCTTTTTAACAACCCAGTGTCAGAACCAAACCTCATCCTTCCATGTATACGTCACTTAAAGAGGCTTCCAGAAACCGCGACTGGAGGAATCTTAGAATTGTGGCGTAACAAACTGCTGAATCTGGGAACCGCAGAGTCCCACAATTCATCATCTCGGAATCTCAGATTCTCAGAACCTGAGGACTCAAGAGTGTTTGAAACACTGATGCTTGGAGCTCTTGATGCTCAGAATTTTAGCATTGTGAAGCACTGGGGG